AGCATGTCCATCGGCCCTGCCCGAGGCTACCTGGGGGAGCTTTACCTGCGTGCGTGCGTGTGCGTGAGTGCCGTAGGAAGCGCCGCTACCACTCGAGGCGTCTGCAGCGCGACGTCTTCAAGAAGAAGTCGCCCAGCAGCACCGGGGCAGCGTTCAGTCGCTCACACAGCGGCGGTGAGAGGCTCCACCACCACCACCATGACCACCATCACCACCATCGTCACCACCACCACCACCGTCACCACCACCGTCATCACCACCACCACCGTAACCGTCACCACCACCACTGTCACCACCACCGTGATCGTCACCATCATAATCACCACCAGTCACCACCGCTGTCACCACCACCGTCATCACCACCACCACCATGATCACCACCACCGTCACCACCGTCACCACCATGACCACCACCTCCACCGTCACCACCGTCACCACCACCACCATGACCACCACCACCACCGTCACCACCACCGTCACCACCACCACCATGACCACCATCACCACCATGACCACCATCACCACCACCGTCATCACCATCACCACCGTCACCGTCACCACCACCACCACCATGACCACCACCACCACCGTCACCACCACCGTCATCACCACCACCGTAACCGTCACCACCACCACTGTCACCACCACCACCACCGTCACCACCACCACCATGACCACCACCACCACCACCGTCACCATCACCAACCATGACCACCATCACCACCACCACCACCGTCACCACCACCGTGATCGCCACCACTATCACCACCACAGTCATCATCACCAACACCGTCACCATCGCCGTCACCACCACCGTCACCACCACCGTCACCACTGTCACCACCATCACCACCACCACCATGACCACTACAACCGTCACCACCGTCACTACCACCTCCGCCGCCACCATCATGCCTACCATCACGTCACCGTCACCATCACCGTCACCATCACCGTCACCATCACCGTCACCATCACCGTCACCATCACCGTCACCATCACCGTCACCATCACCGTCACCATCACCGTCACCACCATCACAGTCTATCGTAGTCGTCATCCCACACCCCCCATTAGCACGGGAGGTGTGGAATGACGACGCCTCCCCTCGTGACTCCTCCCCCCGTGACTCCTCCCCCCGTGACTCCTCCCACCGTGACTCCTCCCCTTGTGACGCCTCCCCCCGTGACTCCTCCCCCCGTGACTCCTCCCACCGTGACTCCTCCCCTTGTGACGCCTCCCCTCGTGACTCCTCCCCCCGTGACTCCTCTCCCCGTGACTCCTCCCCCCGTGACTCCTCCCCCCATGACTCCTCCCCCCGTGACACCTCCCCCGTGACGCCTCGCCCCGTGACTCCTCCCCCGTGACTCCTCCCCCGTGACTCCTCCCCCCGTGACGCCTCCCCCCGTGACTCCTCCCCCCGTGACTCCTCCCCCCGTGACTCCTCCCCCCGTGACTCCTCCCCCCATGACTCCTCCCCCCGTGACGCCTCCCCCCGTGACGCCTCCCCCCGTGACGCCTCCCCCCGTGACTCCTCCCCTCGTGACTCCTCCCCCCGTGACTCCTCCCCCCGTGACGCCTCCCCCCGTGACGCCTCCCCCCGTGACGCCTCCCCCCGTGACTCCTCCCCCCGTGACTCCTCCCCCCGTGACTCCTCCCCCCGTGACTCCTCCCCCCGTGACTCCTCCCTCCGTGACGCCTCCCCCCGTGACGCCTCCCCCGTGACTCCTCCCCCGTGACTCCTCCCCCCGTGCTCCCTCCCCCCGTGACTCCTCCCCCCGTGCTCCCTCCCCCCGTGACTCCTCCCCCCGTGCTCCCTCCCCCCGTGACTCCTCCCCCCGTGACTCCTCCCCCGTGACGCCTCCCCCCGTGACTCCTCCCCCCGTGACTCCTCCCCCCGTGACTCCTCCGACCGTGACTCCTCCCCCCGTGACGCCTCCCCCCGTGACTCCTCCCCCCGTGACTCCTCCCCCGTGACTCCTCCCCCGTGACTCCTCCCCCCGTGACGCCTTCCCCCGTGACTCCTCCCCCCGTGACTCCTCCCCCCGTGACTCCTCCCCCGTGACTCCTCCCCCCGTGACTCCTCCCCCCGTGACGCCTCCCCCCGTGACGCCTCCCCCCGTGACGCCTCCCCCCGTGACTCCTCCCCCCGTGACTCCTCCCCCCGTGACTCCTCCCCCCGTGACTCCTCCCCCTCCCCCCGTGACTCCTCCCCCGTGACTCCTCCCCCTCCCGCCGTGACTCCTCCCCCTCGACTCCTCCCCCCGTGCTCCCTCCCCCCGTGACTCCTCCCCCCGTGCTCCCTCCCCCCGTGACTCCTCCCCCGTGACTCCTCCCCCCGTGCTCCCTCCCCCCGTGACTCCTCCCCCCGTGACTCCTCCCCCGTGACTCCTCCCCCCGTGACGCCTCCCCCCGTGACTCCTCCCCCGTGACTCCTCCCCCGTGACTCCTCCCCCGTGACTCCTCCCCCCGTGCTCCCTCCCCCCGTGACTCCTCCCCCCGTGCTCCCTCCCCCCGTGACTCCTCCCCCGTGACTCCTCCCCCCGTGCTCCCTCCCCCCGTGACTCCTCCCCCCGTGACTCCTCCCCCGTGACTCCTCCCCCCGTGACTCCTCCCCCGTGACGCCTCCCCCCGTGACTCCTCCCCCCGTGACTCCTCCCCCCGTGCTCCCTCCCCCCGTGACTCCTCCCACGTGACTCCTCCCCCCGTGCTCCCTCCCCCCGTGACTCCTCCCCCCGTGACTCCTCCCCCGTGACTCCTCCCCCCGTGACTCCTCCCCCGTGACTCCTCCCCCCGTGACTCCTCCGACCGTGACTCCTCCCCCCGTGACTCCTCCCCCGTGACTCCTCCCCCCGGGACTCCTCCCCCGTGACTCCTCCCCCCGTGACTCCTCCGACCGTGACTCCTCCCCCCGTGACGCCTCCCCCCGTGACTCCTCCCCCCGTGACTCCTCCCCCCGTGCTCCCTCCCCCCGTGACCCCTCCCCCCGTGACGCCTCCCCCCGTGACGCCTCCCCCCGTGACTCCTCCCACCGTGACTCCTCCCACCGTGACTCCTCCCCCCGTGACTCCTCCCCCCGTGACTCCTCCCCCCGTGACTCCTCCCCCCGTGACGCCTCCCCCTGTGACTCCTCCACCCTTGACTCCTCCCCCCGTGACTCCTCCCCCCGTGACGCCTCCCCCCGTGACTCCTCCCCCCGTGACTCCTCCCCCCGTGACGCCTCCCCCCGTGACGCCTCCCCCCGTGACGCCTCCCACCGTGACTCCTCCCCCCGTGACTCCATCCCCCCGTGACTCCTCCCCCCGTGACTCCTCCCCCCGTGACTCCTCCCCCCGTGACTCCTCCCCCCGTGACTCCTCCCCCCGTGACTCCTCCCCAGAGCTTCGCGAGGTCCCCGAGGAGACAATCTTGGAGGAGGACGAGGAGGAGGAGGAGGAGGCGGATTTGCCGGACTTTGCCGATCGGCGTCGCAAAGCCGCCACCTCGGCCACCGCGGCCACCACCACCACCACCACCACCACCTCGGCGGTGGTTCACAACCGCGGGCACGGCCGGCCGAACGTCTCCCGGCCACGGCAATCGGACTCGGACTCTGCCGATGACGACGAGGAGGAGGAGGAGGAGGAGGATGACGACATGGACTACGATCTGGAGCTGCGGATGATTTCTCAGCCGGCGCAGCTGCAGCTGCTCGTGGTTGGCACCGCCGCCACTGCCGCTGCGGCACCACCGGCGGTGAAGTGTGGCGGTGGCGGTGGTGGCGGTGGTGGTGGTGGCGGTGGTGGTGGCGGTGGTGGCGGTGGTGGCGGTGCAGCGATCCGGCTGTCAAGGATGACGATGTACGCGGACGAGGTGGAGGCTCGGCTGAAGACGATCCGGCAAGCGGTGCGGGGAACGCGGTACGGCACACGGCAAGCGCCACCGCGATCGCCACCGCCGTCATCACCACACTGCCACCACCACCACCACAAACAGCAACCACCACCACCACCATCATCATCACCACACCACCACAAACAACAACCACCACCACCATCGTCATCACCACACTACCACAGCCACAACCACAAACAACAACCACCACCACAACCATCACCACCATCGTCATCACCACACTACCACCACCACCACAAACAACAACCACCACCACCACCATCATCATCACCACACCACCACAAACAACAACCACCACCACCATCGTCCTCACCACACTACCACCACCACCATAAATAACAACAACCACCACCACCACCATCGTCATCACCAAACTGCCACCACCACAAACAACAACCATCACCACCACCATCGTCATCACCACACTACCACAGCCACAACCACAAACAACAACAACCACCACAACCACCACCACCATCGTCATCACCACACCACCACCACAAACAACAACCACCACCACCATCGTCATCACCACACTACCACAGCCACAACCACAAACAACAACAACCACCACAACCACCACCACCATCGTCATCACCACACTACCACCACCACAAACAACAACAACCACCACCACCACCATCGTCATCACCACACTACCACCACCACCATAAATAACAACAACCACCACCACCACCATCGTCATCACCACACTACCACCGCCACAACCACCACCACCACCACGATCACCAGCGATGTCAAGATCGGCCTCTGGGGAGGAGGAGGCTCGTGAAGGACGCTGCTGCTACTGGGCAGTGCCAGGCTAGGTGCACAGTGAGGCTACAGGGCAGTGCCAGGCTAGGTGCACTGTGAGGCTACTGGCAGTGCCAGGTTAGGTGCACTGTGAGGCTACAGGGCAGTGCCAGGCTAGGTGCACTGTGAGGCTACTGGCAGTGCCAGGCTAGGTGCACCCTGAGGCTACTGGCAGTGCCAGGCTAAGTGCACTGTGAGGCTACAGGGCAGTGCCAGGCTAGGTGCACTGTGAGGCTACAGGGCAGTGCCAGGCTAGGTGCACTGTGAGGCTACTGGCAGTGCCAGGCTAGGTGCACAGTGAGGCTACAGGGCAGTGCCAGGCTAGGTGCACTGTGAGGCTACTGGCAGTGCCAGGCTAGGTGCACCCTGAGGCTACTGGCAGTGCCAGGCTAGGTGCACTGTGAGGCTACAGGGCAGTGCCAGGCTAGGTGCACTGTGAGGCTACAGGGCAGTGCCAGGCTAGGTGCACTGTGAGGCTACTGGCAGTGCCAGGCTAGGTGCACCCTGAGGCTACTGGCAGTGCCAGGCTAGGTGCACTGTGAGGCTACAGGGCAGTGCCAGGCTAGGTGCACTGTGAGGCTACTGGCAGTGCCAGGCTAGGTGCACAGTGAGGCTACAGGGCAGTGCCAGGCTAGGTGCACTGCCAGGCTAGGTGCACAGTGAGGCTACTGGCAGTGCCAGGCTAGGTGCACCCTGAGGCTACTGGCAGTGCCAGGCTAGGTGCACCCTGAGGCTACTGGTAGTGCCAGGCTAGGTGCACCCTGAGGCTACTGGCAGTGCCAGGCTAGGTGCACCCTGAGGCTACTGGGCAGCTGGAGGCAGTCGCCCTCCAGCAATCAACGACGGAGGGCGGAGGAGCGACGCTCACAACAACGAGCGGAGCGCCGGGCGGATAAAACGCAGCGAGTTGGCACAGTAGGGGGCACAGGTGGTGCACCTAGCCTGGCACAGCAGGGGGCACAGGTGGTACACCTAGCCTGGCACAGCAGGGGGCACAGGTGGTGGTGCACCTAGCCTGGCACAGCAGGGGGCACAGGTGGTGCACCTAGCCTGGCACAGCAGGGGGCACAGGTGGTGGTGCACCTAGCCTGGCACAGCAGGGGGCACAGGTGGTGCACCTAGCCTGCCACAGCAGGGGGCACAGGTGGTGTACCTAGCCTGGCACAGCAGGGGGCACAGGTGGTGTACCTAGCCTGGCACAGCAGGGGGCACAGGTGGTGGTGCACCTAGCCTGGCACAGCAGGGGGCACAGGTGGTGGTGCACCTAGCCTGGCACAGCAGGGGGCACGGGTGGTGCACCTAGCCTGGCACAGCAGTCAACCCACGGCACCTGCTGGGTCTGTCACGTGACCTCCTCGTGCACCTAGCCTGGCACAGCAGTCAGCCCATGGCACCTGCTGGGTCTGTCACGTGACCTCCTGCCGGCAGCGTAGCCTTCGACACTTCACACGGTAGCCTCAAGGTGCACAAGCGGCGTGGTGGTTGGTTAGTGGTGGTGATGGTGGTGGTGGTGATGATGGCGGTGGTGATGGTGGTGGTGGTGGTGATGGTGGTGGTGATGGTGATGGCGGTGGTGGTGATGGCGGTGGTGATGGTGGTGGTGGTGGTGATGATGGTGGTGATGGTGGTGGTGATGATGGTGGTGATGATGGTGGTGATGATGGTGGTGATGATGATGGCGGTGGTGGTGATGGTGGTGATGATGGTGGTGATGATGATGGTGATGATGATGGTGATGATGGTGATGATGATGGTGGTGATGGTGATGATGGTGATGATGGTGGTGATGGTGATGATGATGGCGGTGGTGGTGATGGTGGTGATGATGGTGGTGATGATGATGGTGGTGATGATGGTGGTGATGATGATGGTGGTGATGGTGACGATGGTGATGGTGGTGATGATGGCGGTGGTGGTGATGGTGGTGATGATGGTGGTGATGATGATGGTGATGATGATGGTGATGATGGTGGTGGTGATGATGGTGGTGATGATGATGATGTCTTTACCTCTCCTCAGCAGTGGAGGTGGTGGCGGTGGTGTTGGTGGTGGTGGTAGTGGTGGTGGCGGTGGTGGTGATGGTGGTGATGGTGGTGATGGTGATGATGATTGTGATGGTGATGATGTTGGTGGTGGTGATGGTGATGATGGTGGTGGTGGCGGTGGTGGTGGTGGCGGTGGTGGTGATGGTGATGATGGTGGTGGTGATGATGGTGATGATGGTGATGATGATGATGATGTCTTTACCTCTTCTCAGCAGTGGAGGTGGTGGCGGTGGTGGTGGTGTTGGTGGTGGTGGTGGTGATGATGATGATGTCTTTACCTCTTCTCAGCAGTGGAGGTGGTGGTGGTGGTGGTGTTGGTGGTGGTGTTGGCGGTGGTGGTGGTGGTGGTGTTGGTGGTGGTGTTGGTGGTGGTGTTGGTGGTGGTGTTGGTGGTGATGATGGTGATGTCTTTACCTCTTCTCAGCAGTGGAGGTGGTGGTGGTGGTGTTGGTGGTGGTGTTGGTGGTGATGATGGTGGTGATGATGGTGATGTCTTTACCTCTTCTCAGCAGTGGAGGTGGTGGTGGTGGTGTTGGTGGTGGTGTTGGTGGTGATGATGGTGGTGATGATGGTGATGTCTTTACCTCTTCTCAGCAGTGGAGGTGGTGGTGGTGGTGTTGGTGGTGTTGGTGGTGGTGGTGGGGTGGTGTTGGTGATGATGATTGTGATGGTGATGATGTTGGTGGTGGTGATGGTGATGATGATGATGATGTCTTTACCTCTTCTCAGCAGTGGAGGTGGTGGTGTTGGTGTTGGTGGTGGGGTGGTGTTGGTGGTGGTGATGATGATGATGTCTTTACCTCTTCTCAGCAGCGGTGGTGTTGGTGGTGTTGGTGGTGGTGGTGGTGGCGTGGTGTTGGTGGTGGTGATGGTGATGATGATGGTGGTGATGGTGATGATGTCTTTAACTCTTCTCAGCAGCAGCGGTGGTGTTGGTGGTGGTGTTGGTGGTGTTGGTGGTGGTGGTGGGGTGGTGTTGGTCAGATCCCCGGAGCTTCCGTCTGGCAGCATCAAGAGCCGTCTGGGAGTGCGGAGGACGTCTCCTGAGAGGGGGGGGGGGCAGGGGGGGCCGTGGGGGGGGGGCCTCCTCCCCCCCCTCCTCCCCCCTCTCCTCCTCCCCCCCCTCCTCCCCCTCCTCCCCCTCCTCCCTCCCCACCGGCCCCCGGCTCCCTCCCACGCAGAGAGCGCTCACAGGTTCGGAGGCATCTGACGGTCAGTCAGTCAGTCACACAGTCAGTCACACAGTCAGTCAGTCACACAGTCAGTCACTCAGTCAGTCACTCAGTCAGTCACTCAGTCAGTCAGTCACACAGTCAGTCACTCAGTCAGTCACTCAGTCAGTCACTCAGTCAGTCAGTCACACAGTCAGTCACTCAGTCAGTCACTCAGTCAGTCACTCAGTCAGTCACTCAGTTAGTCAGTCAGTCAGTCACACAGTCAGTCACTCAGTTAGTCAGTCAGTCACGCAGTCAGTCACTCAGTTAGTCAGTCACTCAGTCAGTCACACAGTCAGTCACTCAGTCAGTCAGTCACTCAGTCAGTCAGTCAGTCACACAGTCAGTCACTCAGTCAGTCACTCAGTCAGTCAGTCAGTCACTCAGTCAGTCAGTCACACAGTCAGTCAGTCAGTCACTCAGTCAGTCAGTCACTCAGTCAGTCACTCAGTCAGTCAGTCAGTCACACAGTCAGTCACTCAGTCAGTCAGTCACACAGTCAGTCACTCAGTCAGTCACTCAGTTAGTCACTCAGTTAGTCACTCAGTCAGTCAGTCACACAGTCAGTCACTCAGTCAGTCAGTCACACAGTCAGTCACTCAGTTAGTCAGTCAGTCAGTCACACAGTCAGTCACACAGTCAGTCAGTCAGTCACGCAGTCAGTCACACAGTCAGTCAGTCAGTCACTCAGTCAGTCACTCAGTCAGTCACTCAGTCACTCAGTCAGTCACGCAGTCAGTCACTCAGTCAGTCACTCAGTCAGTCACGCAGTCAGTCAGTCACACAGTCAGTCACTCAGTCAGTCAGTTAGTCAGTCACTCAGTAACGCAGTTAGTCAGTCACTCAGTCAGTCAGTAACGCAGTTAGTCAGGCAGTCAGTCAGTCACTGTCACTCAGTCACTGTCACTCAGTCAGTCAGTCACGCAGTCAGTCACGCAGTCAGTCACACAGTCAGTCAGTCAGTCACACAGTCAGTCAGTCAGTCACGCAGTCAGTCAGTCACTCAGTAACGCAGTTAGTCAGTCACTCAGTCAGTCAGTCAGTAATGCAGTTAGTCACGCAGTCAGTCAGTCACTGTCACTCAGTCACTGTCACTCAGTCAGTCACTCAGTCAGTCAGTCACGCAGTCAGTCACGCAGTCAGTCACACAGTCAGCCAGTCACACAGTCAGTCAGTCAGTCACGCAGTCAGTCAGTCACTCAGTAACGCAGTTAGTCAGTCACTCAGTCAGTCAGTCAGTAACGCAGTTAGTCACGCAGTCAGTCAGTCACTGTCACTCAGTCACTGTCACTCAGTCAGTCACTCAGTCAGTCAGTCACGCAGTCAGTCACGCAGTCACTCACACAGTCAGTCAGTCAGTCACACAGTCAGTCAGTCACTCAGTCAGTCACTCAGTCACTCAGTTAGTCAGTCACGCAGTCACTCAGTCAGTCACTCAGTCACTCACTCAGTCAGTCAGTCACTCAGTCAGTCAGTCAGTCACTCAGTCACTGTCACTCAGTCAGTCACTCAGTCAGTCAGTCACGCAGTCAGTCACGCAGTCAGTCACACAGTCAGTCAGTCAGTCACACAGTCAGTCACGCAGTCAGTCAGTCACTCAGTCAGTCACGCAGTCAGTCAGTCACTCAGTCAGTCACTCACTCAGTCAGTCACTCAGTCACTCAGTTAGTCAGTCACGCAGTCACTCAGTCAGTCACTCAGTCACTCAGTCAGTCACTCAGTCAGTCACTCAGTCAGTCACTGTCACTCAGTCAGTCACTCAGTCAGTCAGTCACGCAGTCAGTCACGCAGTCACACAGTCAGTCAGTCACGCAGTCAGTCAGTCACTCAGTCAATGACTCAGTCACGCAGTCAGTCACTCAGTCAGTCACGCAGTCAGTCACTCAGTCGGTCAGTCAGTCACTCAGTCAGTCACTCAGTCAGTCACGCAGTCAGTCATGCAGTCAGTCACTCAGTCAGTCACGCAGTCAGTCACTCAGTCAGTCACACAGTCAGTCAGTCAGTCACGCAGTCAGTCACTCAGTCAGTCACTCAGTCAGACAGTCACTCACTCAGTCACTCACTCAGTCACACAGTCAGTCACGCAGTCAGTCAGTCACGCAGTCGGTCACTCACACAGCTACTCACACAGCCACTCACACAGCCACTCACTCACACAGCCACTCACTCACACAGCCACTCACTCACACAGCCACTCACTCACACAGCCACTCACTCACACAGCCACTCACTCACACAGCCACTCACTCACACAGCCACTCACTCACACAGCCACTCACTCACACAGCCACTCACTCACACAGCCACTCACTCACACAGCCACTCACACAGCCACTCACTCACACAGCCGCTCACTCACACAGCCACTCACACAGCCACTTACTCACACAGCCGCTCACTCACACAGCCACTCACTCACACAGCCACTCACACAGCCACTCACTCACACAGCCACTCACACACACAGCCACTCACTCACACAGCTACTCACACAGCCACTCACTCACACAGCCACTCACTCACACAGCCACTCACTCACACAGCCACTCACTCACACAGCCACTCACACAGCCACTCACTCACACAGCCACTCACTCACACAGCCACTCACACAGCCACTCACACAGCCACTCACACAGCCACTCACACACACAGCCACTCACACAGCCACTCACACAGCCACTCACACAGCCACTTACTCACACAGCCACTCACTCACACAGCCACTCACACAGCCACTCACACAGCCACTCACACAGCCACTCACACAGCCACTCACACACACAGCCACTCACTCACACAGCCACTCACTCACACACTCACACAGCCACTCACACAGCCACTCACACAGCCACTCACACAGCCACTCACACAGCCACTCACACAGCCACTCACACAGCCACTCACTCACGCAGCCACTCACACAGCCACTCACACAGCCACTCACACAGCCACTCACACACACAGCCACTCACTCACACAGCCACTCACACAGCCACTCACACAGCCACTCACTCACACAGCCACTCACACAGCCACTCACACAGCCACTCACACAGCCACTCACTCACACAGCCACTCACTCACACAGCCACTCACTCACACACTCACACAGCCACTCACACAGCCACTCACACAGCCACTCACACAGCCACTCACTCACACAGCCACTCACACAGCCACACACACAGCCACTCACACAGCCACTCACTCACACAGCCACTCACACAGCCACTCACACAGCCACTCACACAGCCACTCACTCACACACACACTCACACACACAGCCACTCACTCACACACTCACACAGCCACTCACTCACTCACACACACACTCACTCACACAGCCACTCACACAGCCACTCACACACACAGCCACTCACACAGCCACTCACACAGCCACTCACACACACAGCCACTCACACAGCCACTCACTCACACAGCCACTCACTCACACAGCCACTCACACAGCCACTCACACAGCCACTCACACAGCCACTCACACACACAGCCACTCACACAGCCACTCACACAGCCACTCACACAGCCACTTACTCACACAGCCACTCACTCACACAGCCACTCACACAGCCACTCACACAGCCACTCACACAGCCACTCACACAGCCACTCACACACACAGCCACTCACTCACACAGCCACTCACTCACACACTCACACAGCCACTCACACAGACACTCACACAGCCACTCACACAGCCACTCACACAGCCACTCACACAGCCACTCACACAGCCACTCACTCACGCAGCCACTCACACAGCCACTCACACAGCCACTCACACAGCCACTCACACAGCCACTCACACAGCCACTCACTCACACAGCCACTCACACAGCCACTCACACAGCCACTCACACAGCCACTCACTCACACAGCCACTCACTCACACAGCCACTCACTCACACACTCACACAGCCACTCACACAGCCACTCACACAGCCACTCACACAGCCACTCACTCACACAGCCACTCACACAGCCACACACACAGCCACTCACACAGCCACTCACTCACACAGCCACTCACACAGCCACTCACACAGCCACTCACACAGCCACTCACTCACACACACACTCACACACACAGCCACTCACTCACACACTCACACAGCCACTCACACACTCACACACACACTCACTCACACAGCCACTCACACAGCCACTCACACACACAGCCACTCACACAGCCACTCACACAGCCACTCACACACACAGCCACTCACACAGCCACTCACACAGCCAGGCACTGCTGCTGCTGTTGGCTACTCACAGCGGCTGCTTTCTCGGCCTTTGCCTTGCAGGCATCAAACGGCGCCTCGGAAAACGACTTCACTCTCCCGACCGCCCATCCCTCCCATCCTCCGGCGGCGGCGGTGGCGGCGGTGGTGCAGGATCATTGCCGTCCCGGGTGAAGGTGTCGGCGCTCAGGCGCGAGGCCACAGACATCCGGTCCAGGCTCGGGCCCAGGCTCACCACGACCGAAGACAAATCTGGTGAGCGTGGTTGGTGAGCGTGGTTGGTGAGCGTGGCAGTGAGGTCATGGTGAGGTTGGTGAGGTCATGGTGAGGTTGGTGAGGTCATGGTGAGGTCATGGTGAGGTTGGTGAGGTCATGGTGAGGTTGGTGAGGTCATGGTGAGGTTGGTGAGGTCATGGTGAGGTTGGTGAGGTCATGGTGAGGTTGGTGAGGTCATGGTGAGGTTGGTGAGGTCATGGTGAGGTTGGTGAGGTCATGGTGAGATTGGTGAGGTCGTGGTGAGGTTGGTGAGGTCGTGGTGAGGTTGTGAGGTCATGGTGAGGTTGTGAGGTCATGGTGAGGTTGGTGAGGTCATGGTGAGGTTGGTGAGGTCATGGTGAGGTTGGTGAGGCACAGTGTGGTTGGTGAGGTCATGGTAGGTTGGTGAGGTCATGGTGAGGTTGGTGAGGTCATGGTGGGTTGGTGAGGTCATGGTGAGGTTGGTGAGGTCATGGTGAGGTTGGTGAGGTCATGTGAGGTGGGAGGTCATGGTGAGGTTGGTGAGGTCACGGTGAGGTTGGTGAGGTCATGGTGAGGTTGGTGAGGTCATGGTGAGGTTGGTGAGGTCATGGTGAGGTTGGTGAGTCATGGTGAGGTTGGTGAGTCATGGTGAGGTTGGTGAGGTCATGGTGAGGTTGGTGAGGTCATGGTGAGGTTGTGAGGTCATGGTGAGGTTGGTGCGGTCATGGTGAGGTTGGTGAGGTCATGGTGAGGTTGGTGAGGTCATGGTGAGGTTGGTGAGGTCATGGTGAGGTTGGTGAGGTCGTGGTGAGGTCATGGTGAGGTTGGTGAGGTCACAGTGAGGTTGGTGAGGTCATGGTGAGGTTGGTGAGGTCATGTGTGAGGTTGGTGAGGTCATGGTGAGGTTGGTGAGGTCATGGTGAGGTTGGTGAGGTCGTGGTGAGGTCATGGGAGGTTGGTGAGGTCACAGTGAGGTTGGTGAGGTCATGGTGAGGTTGGTGAGGTCATGGTGAGGTTGGTGAGGTCATGGTGAGGTTGGTGGGTCATGGTGAGGTTGGTGAGGTCATGGTGAGGTTGGTGAGGTCATGGTGAGGTTGTGAGGTCATGGTGAGGTTGGTGAGGTCATGGTGAGGTTGGTGAGGTCATGGTGAGGTTGGTGAGGTCATGGTGAGGTTGGTGAGGTCATGGTGAGGTTGGTGAGGTCATGGTGAGGTTGGTGAGGTCATGGTGAGGTTGGTGAGGTCATGGTGAGGTTGGTGAGGTCGTGGTGAGGTTGGTGAGGTCATGGTGAGGTTGGTGAGGTCATGGTGAGGTTGGTGAGGTCATGGTGAGGTTGGTGAGGTCGTGGTGAGGTTGGTGAGGGTCATGGTGAGGTTGGTGAGGTCATGGTGAGGTTGGTGAGGTCATGGTGAGGTTGGTGAGGTCGTGGTGAGGTTGGTGAGGTCGTGTGAGGTTGGTGAGGTCATGGTGAGGGTTGGTGAGGTCATGGTGAGGTTGGTGAGGTCATGGTGAGGTTGGTGAGGTCACGGTGAGGTTGGTGAGGTCATGGTGAGGTTGGTGAGGTCATGGTGAGGTTGGTGAGGTCATGGTGAGGTTGGTGAGGTCATGGTGAGGTTGGTGAGGTCATGGTGAGGTTGGTGAGGTCATGGTGAGGTTGGTGAGGTCATGGTGAGGTTGGTGAGGTCATGGTGAGGTTGGTGAGGTCATGGTGAGGTTGGTGAGGTCGTGGTGAGGTTGGTGAGGTCATGGTGAGGTTGGTGAGGTCGTGGTGAGGTTGGTGAGGTCATGGTGAGGTTGGTGAGGTCGTGGTGAGGTTGGTGAGGTCGTGGTGAGGTTGGTGAGGTCATGGTGAGGTTGGTGAGGTCGTGGTGAGGTTGGTGAGGTCATGGTGAGGTTGGTGAGGTCATGGTGAGGTTGGTGAGGTCATGGTGAGGTTGGTGAGGTCATGGTGAGGTTGGTGAGGTCATGGTGAGGTTGGTGAGGTCATGGTGAGGTTGGTGAGGTCATGGTGAGGTTGGTGAGGGTCATGGTGAGGTTGGTGAGGTCATGGTGAGGTTGGTGAGGTCGTGGTGAGGTTGGTGAGGTCATGGTGAGGTTGGTGAGGTCATGGTGAGGTTGGTGAGGTCATGGTGAGGTTGGTGAGGTCGTGGTGAGGTTGGTGAGGTCAGTGGTGAGGTTGGTGAGGTCATGGTGAGGTTGGTGAGGTCATGGTGAGGTTGGTGAGGTCATGGTGAGGTTGGTGAGGTCATGGTGAGGTTGGTGAGGTCGTGGTGAGGTTGGTGAGGTCATGGTGAGGTTGGTGAGGTCATGGTGAGGTTGGTGAGGTCGTGGTGAGGTTGGTGAGGTCATGGTGAGGTTGGTGAGGTCATGGTGAGGTTGGTGAGGTCATGGTGAGGGTTGGTGAGGTCATGGTGAGGTTGGTGAGGTCATGGTGAGGTTGGTGAGGTCATGGTGAGGTTGGTGAGGTCATGGTGAGGTTGGTGAGGTCATGGTGAGGTTGGTGAGGTCGTGGTGAGGTTGGTGAGGTCGTGGTGAGGTTGGTGAGGTCATGGTGAGGTTGGTGAGGTCATGGTGAGGTTGGTGAGGTCATGGTGAGGTTGGTGAGGTCGTGGTGAGGTTGGTGAGGTCATGGTGAGGTTGGTGAGGTCATGGTGAGGTTGGTGAGGTCGTGGTGAGGTTGGTGAGGTCATGGTGAGGTTGGTGAGGTCATGGTGAGGTTGGTGAGGTCGTGGTGAGGTTGGTGAGGTCATGGTGAGGTTGGTGAGGTCATGGTGAGGTTGGTGAGGTCATGGTGAGGTTGGTGAGGTCATGGTGAGGTTGGTGAGGTCATGGTGAGGTTGGTGAGGTCGTGGTGAGGTTTGGTGAGGTCATGGTGAGGTTGGTGAGGTCATGGTGAGGTTGGTGAGGTCATGGTGAGGTTGGTGAGGTCATGGTGAGGTTGGTGAGGTCATGGTGAGGTTGGTGAGGGTCATGGTGAGGTTGGTGAGGTCATGGTGAGGTTGGTGAGGTCATGGTGAGGTTGGTGAGGTCATGGTGAGATTGGTGAGGTCGTGGTGAGGTTGGTGAGGTCGTGGTGAGGTTGGTGAGGTCATGGTGAGGTTGGTGAGGTCATGGTGAGGTTGGTGAGGTCATGGTGAGGTTGGTGAGGTCATGGTGAGGTTGGTGAGGTCACAGTGAGGTTGGTGAGGTCATGGTGAGGTTGGTGAGGTCATGGTGAGGTTGGTGAGGTCATGGTGAGGTTGGTGAGGTCATGGTGAGGTTGGTGAGGTCATGGTGAGGTTGGTGAGGTCATGGTGAGGTTGGTGAGGTCATGGTGAGGTTGGTGAGGTCACGGTGAGGTTGGTGAGGTCATGGTGAGGTTGGTGAGGTCATGGTGAGGTTGGTGAGGTCATGGTGAGGTTGGTGAGGTCATGGTGAGGTTGGTGAGGTCATGGTGAGGTTGGTGAGGTCATGGGTGGAGGTTGGTGAGGTCATGGTGAGGTTGGTGAGGTCATGGTGAGGTTGGTGAGGTCGTGGTGAGGTTGGTGAGGTCATGGTGAGGTTGGTGAGGTCATGGTGAGGTTGGTGAGGTCATGGTGAGGTTGGTGAGGTCGTGGTGAGGTCTGGTGAGGTTGGTGAGGTCACAGTGAGGTTGGTGAGGTCATGGTGAGGTTGGTGAGGTCATGGTGAGGTTGGTGAGGTCATGGTGAGGTTGGTGAGGTCATGGTGAGGTTGGTGAGGTCGTGGTGAGGTCATGGTGAGGTTGGTGAGGTCACAGTGAGGTTGGTGAGGTCATGGTGAGGTTGGTGAGGTCATGGTGAGGTTGGTGAGGTCATGGTGAGGTTGGTGAGGTCATGGTGAGGTTGGTGAGGTCATGGTGAGGTTGGTGAGGTCATGGTGAGGTTGGTGAGGTCATGGTGAGTTGGTGAGGTCATGGTGAGGTTGTGAGGTCATGGTGAGGTTGGTGAGGTCATGGTGAGGTTGGTGAGGGTCATGGTGAGGTTGGTGAGGTCATGGTGAGGTTGGTGAGGTCATGGTGAGGTTGGTGAGGTCATGGTGAGGTTGGGTGAGGTCGTGGTGAGGTTGGTGAGGTCATGGTGAGGTTGGTGAGGTCATGGTGAGGTTGGTGAGGTCATGGTGAGGTTGGTGAGGTCGTGGTGAGGTTGGTGAGGTCATGGTGAGGTTGGTGAGGTCATGGTGAGGTTGGTGAGGTCATGGTGAGGTTGGTGAGGTCGTGGTGAGGTTGGTGAGGTGCTGGTGAGGTTGGTGAGGTCATGGTGGAGGTTGGTGAGGTCATGGTGAGGTTGGTGAGGTCATGGTGTGGTTGGTGAGGTCACTGTGAGGTTGGTGAGGTCATGGTGAGGTTGGTGAGGTCATGGTGAGGTTGGTGAGGTCATGGTGAGGTTGGTGAGGTCATGGTGAGGTTGGTGAGGTCATGGTGAGGTTGGTGAGGTCATAGGTTGAGGTTGGTGAGGTCATGGTGAGGTTGGTGAGGTCATGGTGAGGTTGGTGAGGTCATGGTGAGGTTGGTGAGGTCAGTGGTGAGGTTGGTGAGGTCATGGTGAGGTTGGTGAGGTCGTGGTGAGGTTGGTGAGGTCATGGTGAGGTTGGTGAGGTCAGTGGTGAGGTTGGTGAGGTCAGTGGTGAGGTTGGTGAGGTCATGGTGAGGTTGGTGAGGTCGTGGTGAGGTTGGTGAGGTCATGGTGAGGTTGGTGAGGTCATGGTGAGGTTGGTGAGGTCATGGTGAGGTTGGTGAGGTCATGGTGAGGTTGGTGAGGTCATGGTGAGGTTGGTGAGGTCATGGTGAGGTTGGTGAGGTCATGGTGAGGTTGGTGAGGTCATGGTGAGGTTGGTGAGGTCATGGTGAGGTTGGTGAGGTCGTGGTGAGGTTGGTGAGGTCATGGTGAGGTTGGTGAGGTCATGGTGAGGTTGGTGAGGTCATGGTGAGGGTTGGTGAGGTCGTGGTGAGGTTGGTGAGGTCGTGGTGAGGTTGGTGAGGTCATGGTGAGGTTGGTGAGGTCATGGTGAGGTTGGTGAGGTCATGGTGAGGTTGGTG